GAGAACCGATGAAGAGGTGGGCAAAAAATGCAATTTTTTTTTTAATTTTTTTTTGATAATATTAAATTTGCTCTCTAAGTTACTAAACCCCAATTTTCATTTCAATTACACCATTGTGACCTGTTATTGCAAGTCGAACAAGTCGCTTGTCCTACGTGGCATCCATGTTGGCAAATTTTGTTCATATTATGTTGGCAAATTTTGATCATGGCGTTCACGCCATGTTCATCACCATGTGGACATAATCCGAACAAAAGTTGCCAACATGGAAGCCATGTAGGACAAGTGACTTGTTCAACTTGCAATAACAGGTCACAATGGTGTAATTGAAATGAAAATTGGGGTCTAGTGACTTAGAGAGTAAATTGGTGATAGTTGTTGAATTAACTTTTAATTGTACATTATGTTGTGTTAGTTACTCAAAGCATTGGATTCTTTTATTGTTGTGGAGAGAGAGGGTCAAATTATTGCGTGTGCTGCTCTTTTTCCATTTTATGAAGAAAAGTGTGGGGAGGTTGCTGCGATTGCTGTTTCTCCTGACTGTAGGGGACAAGGGCAAGGGGACAAATTACTTGGTATGTCTTGACTTATTTTCTTTACTTCAAATTAAAACAAAACTCAAATAGTTTTTGGCTCATGGAAAAAATATCTTGCAGATTATATTGAGAAAAAAGCATCTTCAATGGGACTTCAGAAGCTGTTCTTGCTGACAACACGAACAGCAGATTGGTTTGTAAGGCGGGGGTTTTCGGAGTGCTCAATTGAGTGTATACCAGAGGAAAGGCGAAAAAGGATAAATTTATCGCGGGGATCTAAGTATTATATGAAACAACTGCTACCCGACACTAGTGGAATCCGTTTTAATAGTATGTTTGCTTGAGTTGTTTATATAGATCGAGCTAGTTTCTATGAATAAGAGAATGTTTTAAGTGTGCATCTGTTTTTTAGGGGGTGTTTTTTTATAAATAAGAGAACGTTTATAATTTAGTTATTTTATAAATAACTATACTATTATCTGGCATTAATATTTCATTGTTGTTAATTTTTACATTCAGTTGGAAGGCAAAAAAAATAAAACGCCAGTCAGTCTAAGTATAAAATATGAATATCTCCTAAAATATGAATAGTATAAACATGTGTTGATTTCTATGTATAGTTTCTCGTACACAAAGGGATTCATGTTAGATACACATACATGTTTCTTTCCAATCCATGCAAAAAACAAAATGCCAATCTTAGTGTTGATTTTTTTTCCATCGAGTTAATCGAGTTAGGTGTCTTTTTCTTGGCCGTTGTGCCTAAATACATCAAAAATAACATTCATAATCATATCGTGTGAGTACTTGAATATCAGAAGTTCTCTATAATAAACTACATGTTTCTCAAAATAGTCCAAACATGCCTTATAATGAACCGAACATAACTCATCAATCGAATCAAGAAGTGATAGGATAGTACAATATTCTATTGGTGATGCATGTTGTTCAAAACCATCTATAGGGATAGATAGAAGAAATTCATGAACATATGATGCTCATGACACTTAAAAACTATTTTCTGTCTAAATAAAAAAATGTTTTTAAGTTTGTGTTTGTTTGTCCCGTGATCAATTAACTTTTTTGATCAAACCTAACAAGGCTTCTAGTTTTTCACTGTTTACCCTCACTTGATAATAATAACCTTGAAGCATATGAAACTTCCAGATCTTTAGTGGTACAATTTATTATTTTTTTTCTTAATAAAGATGATTTATTTTTGAACTTTTTTGTCTAAGCTACAATGTTTCAAATAGATCACCGGATTTATAAAATCCACAATGTTAAATTGAAATTGAGTTTAAGAAAATGTTAATAATATAAATGAGCAAACATATTACTTGGGATGTCAAAAAAAATATTATTACTGATTATTAGAAATAATGTGTTCACAAAATATCTTTAATTTAATGGATACTTTATGACAGTATTTTCTTAAATAATAATTTTTTATAGAAAAACAAATTGTGTAATCTTTTAAGAAATAATAGATAGAAATTCCAAAGCTGAAATTATATAATTTTTCTAAAAATGAAAGTTTTAGAAATACTTTAAAACCGTTGGGGTAAAAGTGAAGAAACAACAAATTTGAAGGTCTGGCAATGAAACTACAAGTTTGTACAGGAAAGGGCGGGTGAACCGGATTAAATAGGGCAAAATTTTGCTCAATTCGTTACTACTTTCTGTAATCGATAGAAACTTGTTTTAGGGTTTGAATCAGATTTAACAAACAGATGCTGCGTCGCTGTCTCCGATTTCACTTAAGCTTCCCGTTTCTGCCTTAAATACTGTTTTTTTTTTGCCACTGGTAAACCCACTGAACTGTTGTACCGTGTACGTGTTTGAGCTATGGTATTTCAAAGCTAGTTTAATTATGAATGCATATTGAATGAAACTGATGAAAATCTGTACGAAATGTTAGATTTTGAATGCAGAATTAGAGATTGAAAGTTGTGCATCATTGAGTGCGTGTGTTGTTCTTATCGTTAATCCATAATTAGTTCAGAATTGGCGATTCCCTCTTCGATCATAGATTATTGTGGTAAGGGTTTGTAAACTTAAAAGTTTTTTTTTTTTTTTGGAATTTGTTTTAGGAAAGATTTCAGAGGTGCATAAATGGGCGTACCTAAGCAGAAGTGGACATTAGAAGAGGAAGCTGCTCTTAAAGCTGGAATAGCCAAGTATGGACCAGGGAAATGGAGCACAATTCTCAAAGATCCAGAGTTTTCTTCTGTCTTGCATTTGCGTTCTAATGTGGACCTTAAGGTTGAAACAACTTCTACAAACTGGATTATAAGATCAAATCGAGTATTGCTACATTACTACAAAACACATAACATTATATTTATAGTTTGTATTTGTTTTCCTGAAACAGGATAAATGGAGAAATATGAACTGCATGGGTAGTAGCTATGGATCTCGCCAAAGGGGTAGTAGACCTGCAAAGTCTCAGCCAATTCATAAGTCTGAAGATATTTCTACTTTTTCTAAAGAAGAACATGATATGCAAATTTGTATTGTGGATCCTTTTCCAACATTAACTCTACCATTGCAAATTGATGATTCCAAGAAGCCAATTCCAATGCCAATGCCAAGGTCATGTCAATTATCAAATATCAACCCCTTGTCATTGTATAATATAAATTAATCAAATTGGACAACTAATTGTTACTTAAGGAGACTGATAAATACATGTACATTATTTTAATTTATAGATTGGATAGCCTTATATTGGATACAATAGCTAATCTGAAGGAGTCTTGTGGCTCTAGTCGTGCTGCAATTGCTGAATATATTGAGGTATAAATTCATACCGATTGCATGAATTTCAATCAGTCATACATGTGTTCTTAAGTCAGAATTTGAAGACATGATTAATGGGTTTCGTTCAGTTTTGCTATTTGTTTAGTATTCTTCATAATTTCAGCATTTTGAGATATTATTTCAGGAGAATCAGTCAATACCTCCTGATTTTGGAAGACAGTTGAAAGAAGAGTTAAAGGCTTTAGTAGATTGTGGGAAATTGATTAAGGTAATTGGGTGTTATTATAGGGTATCCTTTTTCATGGAAAATATCTATTCGCTAATCTTAATTTATATTTTATCATCATTGGAATTGGATCATATAGGTAAAGCATAGGTACAGAATTGCACCAAGTTCATATGTAAAAAAGAGCTCAAAAAATGAGGAGAATTGCAGAGTGGGAGAGACAAGTGGCAACAAGATAATTACAAAAGCAGAAATAGATGCAGAGTTGGAGAAGATGAAGATGATGACACCTCAGGAGGCTGCTGCTGTTGCTGTGAAAGCAGTTGCAGAAGCAGAAGCTGCTATTTTGGAAGCTGAAAGGGCAGAAAGGGAAGCAGAAGTTGCAGAAGCTGATGCAGAGTTAGCTAAAGGATTTGCTGCTGCTGCAATGCGTGCGTTAAAGAAAACTGCATTTTGGACATGGTAGTAAAAATGTTGATTTTATGGTTTTATTATAAAACGTGACTTAGCAAAAGTATTTGTTCATCTGCAGAATATAATGAGATTGAAACAGGATTTCGGAGGTGATCTATGTGTTGAGATATGTGGAGTGTTGTAAAGGGTTGTGAATTTTGTTGTCTTTTAAGGTATAAAATGAATGAGAGTATATAATTAGGTAAAAAAAAACTTGTTTTAAGTAAACTGCTCACAAATAATCGGGGATCTTGTATACAAATATGAGATTGGAGAACACAAATATCATATTTTATAGGATTAACATGTGCTTTTTTGAAAATAAACCCAATCCTTTTTATGTACATACTTGATAAGCACAATGCGAAGAAAAAGTGTAAAGAATGCCTCAAACTGCCATATGGTTGTTAATAATATTTTTTTATGTTTAGTTTGATGTTTTAAATCATACATTGAATTTTATGTTGATTCTTTTATTAAATTTTTGTTTCAATTCATGTTGAAATATGTCAAATGTTGTATTATTTGAAGTAACAAAAAAAAATGATAGATCATACACATCCAATCATGTTTTCTATTTTTTTTTTCTAAAATAAAAAATAAAAACTCAATCAGTTTCAATCAAACACAAACACCATAAAGAAAACTCAATTTTCTTAAAACTTTTTCAAAAAAACTAATTGCACTTTTCCATAGGCATCTTCAAGGAATATTGCAATTACTTCTAGAAATCCCAAGTAGTAAGCATTTTTCTTATTTTACCAAAACATAGAATATTCTCATGTTATGATGTTAATAACTTATTCAGCCGTTAGGAATTAACAAAAAAATAAATGGTTAAAAAAACAATATTTGACAAGACATTTACCATAAGAATCAAAAACACCCATTTTGAAACAATATGCTTGCTCTCTCTCATATCACCATTTCTCTAAAATCTTTCTCAAGTTTGTTTTAATTAGTTGAGTTCAAGTTGGTTCATAAAAGCTAAATGTGGTAAGCAAGTTTATAGGAACAATTCATGACACAATAAAAGAAAAACAAGATTCAAGAAAACAAACCATACTCAAGTCTCAAGAGTTAAAAATTACTAAAACCGTAGAGTTTACTCTTCCTCTAGAACATAGAAGTTATACACATCAATCAAGAACAAAATAGAGTGTAATAATAAATCAACTATGCAAACCAAATCACCACCAAAAATCCCATCCGTCTTCAGGAAAACATTCCCCTTTCTTTATCATCATCTTCTTCAACTTTTAGATTTTGAATGCTTTATAAGCCAATCAATCACCGAATCTATATTCGTCGAGTTCTTGCAAGAAATCATAAAGCAACACACTTCTCTTTCACCAATCGATCTCAACCCCCTAAACAAACAACAAAATTTTCTTTAAATTTTTTTTGTCCTTTTAGACAGACAATCCAGTTTCAGTATCAATATCAGTTTCAGTATCAGTTTGGGTCAGTTAAAGAAAAGTTGTCTTACATTTGATCGGTCAACGCCTCCTTGGAGAGCGCACCAGTCTTATCAATCTTGTTTCCAAGAACAAGTAAAGGAATCCCACTCAAGGCTGGTTTGTTAATCAGATCATGAAGTTCACTTTTTGAAATGCTCAGATTTTCATGATCGGCTGCATCAACAACATAACTGCATAAACGACACAAAAAAAAAAAGTAAACATTTTGACACAAAAAAGTCAACTCTTTCAAGGATTTCATAATAGCAAGTAGTCACATACACAATGGCGGAAACTGCACGACAATATCTCTCCCACATGCTACGAAATCGTGGTTGACCTCCAAGATCCCATAGTTTTATGGTCACGTTTCCTTTTGTTACTTTCCTCATATTAAATCCCACCTGAAATTTGACATTTTTTTAATTAGATTCATGATGTTGTTGAAGGAATTAACTTACTATGTGTTATTGTTAGTGAGATTAATTAATTTTGGAAGAAAAGAAAACACACCGTAGGGATCATGTCTTCGCTATATCCACCAGTCTATGAGCATTCATAAAATCAAGAAAAGATTAACAAAGAATTCGAATTGAGATATGATTATAACGAATATGCAAGTGGTTTAGTGTTTACTTACAGCAACAACGTTTACGAGTGAAGTTTTTCCAGCGTTCTGGAGCCCTATCAAAGAGAGCTCCATTTCCTGCTTGAAGAAGAGGCTGTAAAATATGATATCAAGATTAGCTCATGCAGGGTTAATTCATAAACAGATCGACGAAATTTTCAATTCAAGGATGAAGTTCATAGAGAAATACGAAACCCTAACAGGAAAAGAGCAAACAAACAAACAATCAATTATTAATTCGAATTGGAACACAAATTCTGCGAATTTAGGGCGTGAATCGGAAAGTGGAATGATTACCTTCGAAGCCAATTGAGAAGAGCTTCCCATAAACCCATTCCGGTTGAGTGAAGAAGAAGATAATTCAAACGAAAAAAGAAAAGAGGATGCGATTTATTGAAGCAGATCGATCACTCTCTTTTACTCTCTGACCTTCAAAATTATTTGGTTTCTTTTGGGGATAACTTTCCTTCTGTTTTCTTCCTTCTCTCTCTTCTACATTAAATTTCTAACAACAGAGAAGCGTAATCAATGGTGAATTAAATTATTATTACCATAAAAACACAATAATTGATTGGGATTGGGATTGGGATTTCTTGAATTTAGAAGGTCACCTGAGATTAAGCAGCTCAGCTTCGTGGTGTAAATCTTGAAGGGACGTTCAAATTTACTAGGAGTGGAGTTGAGTCGGCGATGATTGACGGCACCGTCGTATACGACGGACGATTGGTGGGTGGTGGTTGATTTATCGACGTTTTTGGTTCGTGGATGCACGTTTGCCTGTGGAACTCTTTGACACCCAATCTCTTTGTTTTATTTCTCTTTTTCCAAACAAAATAGATAAACATATGTTTCAACGTGGAAGGTGATTATATTATATAAAATAATAAAAATAAGATTTATATTTTGTAACAAGATAAGTTTAAAAGGATAATGCTTAGATTTGTTTCTGTTACGATTTCTAGAATAACAGTTAACCGATGAAAAGGTTAATAACATAAATTGAAAACTAATAACATAACATGTTATTTGTTTTTTAATCATTTATATTTTAATTGTGTTTAATTAATCACTAACTATTTTATTTTTGTTTTTTAACATTCTTATTTTTGATTTAAATTTTTATTGTTTTTTAATTATTTAAATTTTAATTGTATTCAATTGACCACTAACTATTTTATTTTTAAATTTTAACATTCTTATTTTAGATTTAAATTTTTGTTATTTTAGTACAATTTAATTTAAATAAATAAATAAAATAAAAATTAATTTATTTGTTATTAAAAAGTTAATTTGAGGATAGAAATAAACAAAAATTATTTAAACTAAAAGTTTGAAGTTGTTATAAGATTTAATTGATACTTAAATCAAAATTTTTGTGATTAGGGAGTAAAAGTGACAACTAGGTTAAAATTGTCATGTTTCACATTGACTTGTTCTAACGACTAATTTGTAAACAAATAAAATGATTGTGATAATAGTTGACGTCTTAAAAGTTTGACTAGAACAACTTGTAAATGGTGGTCAAACTCAAAATTTATGAAATAAGGGGGGGGCTGTTTGTTTAAGTTGTAAACTCATCAATTTATAGATATAACATAACTCCTCTCTTCCTATTTACAAAGAATACGATTTTAAGAGAGATAATGGAAACTTACATGGCGATTTTGAAGGAATTTGAAGTGTAGGTTAGAATTTTCAAGTGGTTTGAAGAGGAGAAGCTAGAGATTCTATCATTTAACATTTGAAGGTATATCTACATCTTATTCTCTCTTAATTATCGAGCCAATGTGTGGGTTAACACCCAAACCCAAAATTCTAAGCTAAAGTAGTGATTTGTGAACGATTTGGAACTAGGAACATACACCATATCATTCACAAATCATCATTTCACTGGTGAAATGATTGATTTTGTCTCTATTCGTGAATTTGGGAAGATTTAGAACAATAATTTGATAACTTGTTGTTTTATGGTTCTAAATCTTCAATGGAGTTGTACTCTAGCCGACAAAGTTGTATTAGATCCAAATCTATGATTATAGGTTGAGAGAGAGAGAGAGAGAGAGAGAGAGAGAGAGAGAGTATGTATATATGTGTATGGAAATTTTGTCACAGAGACCCAATTAACTTCTACATTAGGTTTTAAAAGACCAATTATGTTTTTTTAGCCTTTATGGACCCCCAAACTCGAAAATTACTTGTATTCATACCCGGTATCTATAAACTGGGCAAAATCCAAATCATCTACAATGGGATAAATCCCTCTAGATAAAGGGATGTTAGGTAAGCAGTAGTAGAGGTTTTGAAACTCTTCCCCAATAGCTCTATCAAGAAAAGCAAAAAAGTCCCTTACATCCATACCTGCCCAATCCACATCAGTGAAGAGGAAGTAATTCCCACCAACATATCCAGAAGGATGTCGAACAAATACACCATTGTAGTGTAGATGAACTCTCAGATATACAACTTTGTTATCGTTCTCAGCCATGCAACAGTGAAACAATCCTCAAAGAGTATAATATCTTTGACAGCAACAGTGTAATCTCAATAGTGGCTAAGATGGTTAAAACCCCTAGTTCAAATCTTCATTCCTCTTCTTATAAGACGTACGACTAAGGAAAATGAATTAATTTTTTTTACCCGTTTTTACACTCTGGAATAACACACTTGACACAATTAATAATTGACCACCTAAGTCAACGACCACGTCACCTATTTTACCGGCTAAATAAATTCGGAAATGAATAAGGGTATGAGAGACAGGTAATTTTCGAGTTTGAGGGTCCATAAAGGCCAAAAAAAACAATATTGGTCTTTTAAAAGCTAATGTAAAAGTTTGTTGGGTCTCCGAGACAAAAAAACCTATGTGTATGTGCAAAAATTTTCTCATTATATAATTCCAATAGATATTATGTGGTGATCTCAATCAAGGATTCAAATGGCAATTAACCATTGGAAATTTGTAATGAAATGACATACTTTGAAATCAAGATAATTCACAAAAATGTTTAGATATAATCAAATCAAAGCTACATATGTAAATAAAGAAATGTTTGAAGCCTTGGAAAGAACTAAAAGATGATTCGTGATCATAATTTCCATATGTGGATTTTAGCCTCATGACTACCTACATGAGCTTAGAACCATAAATTGGAGGATAGAAACATGAATTGATATTATTTAGTTGTTGTATGCATATTTAGAAAGATCATAGGATCATTTAATCATGAGAAAACAATTTATAAATATCTATGAAGTCTTTGGAGACTTATGTCTTAAATATAAAAGGTAAATGTCTTCATGAGTGCTTCATTGAACTTAGAAGCATTAAGACATTTTGTCATTAAGTCATTATAAAAACGGAATGCAATTGATTTTCAGCAGATTGGGGCGAGTCTCCCTCACAGTGTTTGGCGGGTCGAAGAAACCAAAGCCGACCCATGAATTATCGTTATTAGTATGCTAGCTGTCTTTGTGACTCTTGCATGTGTTGTATGTGTCTGTATCTATACCAGGCGGGGCCTGATGAGTGTGTTGGGCGGGGACCATCGCATGCTACTGACAGATCTGTACCGGGCGAGTCCCGATGGATGTTGGGAAAGGCCCAATGTATGTATGGTACTGTGTATTTTGGGTAAATCACTAAGCTTTGTGCTTACGTTTTTTTAGTTTATGTTTCAGGTACTTCCGGTTCAAAGGAGAAGGGCTCGAGATGATCGCATTGCACACACCATGATTTTTCGCTTTATCGAGTCTGATGTATTTTTGGATGATTATTGATATACTCTAATTTCCTTATGGTTTTGATAAACATGTTTGGTTGATGGTTTATTTAATATAAAAACAAAATTTTTGGTTATGAGCTTTTGGGACGTTACAAGTTGGTATCAGAGCCTTGGTTTGAGGGATTCAGACATGCTCTCGGATGTGTATGAACTCAAACTGAGGGTTTGGTAGATTTTTTTTATAAAAATAAATGCTTTATTAAAGGATTTTCTAATAAAAGAAAGGGGTGTGGTGCTTGCAATCGACCGAGCTCAAGTAAGTTTTCCCAAAATACCCATACATGTTCTATGTGATATGCTTTGAATTGAGAATATAAGGATCACATGCTAGATTAGGGCTAAGGATATGCTTAGGATTGTATGATATAATGCTAGGAGAGATGCCTTTATATGTCTATTGTATGAACTTATAGATTTGCATGCTAGATTTGGATCAGTTAGTAATAGGATGGCCTGTTTAGGTTATGCTTTGATTCCGATTACTCAATGCTTGAATGCTGCTTGCTTTGTGCTTTTAGGAGTTCCCATTGAGATCAGCTAACTAGTAAGAGAATGCGTTAAGTTACATATTACTAAGATTAGATAATTTTAGAAGGTTAGGTTTAACCCTATTACATAGCTCTTGTCTGAGTCCAACCGTTTTAATGTGAGACCTTTCATTCGAAGAATTATTTGGTGTCGGTGGTATGTAATTGTGTTCGTAAGCTAGTTAAAAGGTGTTAGAGGGAGTTCCTTCTACAGCTGATGGTGGAGAGTGGTGTGATGGTAGTCCTAGGAGAACCTAAGAGGTGATTCGGTGCAGTGAGCTTTGATCTGCTAGAGATCATCTGGATTATTAGGGAAGTAACTTAGGGGATTCGAGGTAATCCTTGAGGAAAGTACAGATAGATGTGGAAGGTAGTATGGGCCTATACCACTGGAAGCATATGATCCGTACTCGAGTCAAGGAACGTCACGATGATACCGGGGAGCTTGTAGACTGTGGGATTCTTCGAGTATATTATGATGGTTTGTATGGTTTATGTTTCAGTATGGTGGGCACTCAAGGAAGTTCTGGTGGAGAAATGGGTGTCGGTGTTGGTTATAGTGTCGACGATGGTTCGGGTTCGGGCTCTGGGGTCGGGCTTATGTATGATTAGATGCGGGAGTTCATTTCATCAGATATTACCTGTAGTATTCTTGAGTAGACTCATGTGATCTTCGGTACGATCAAGGAGGGTGTCATGGAGATTCCGGATGAGCGCTTGGGCACTTTTCTTTCTAAGATGGTTGCGATGGTGGGATCTCGCACTTTGACTTTCCAAGAGTTTCGGGCATGTGGGGCTCCAAAGTTCTTTGGGAAGAAGGACCCTATTGCGAGCAGGTGTTGGTTAGTGGATGTCATGAACGCCTTCCGTACTAGCTGATGCCCCAAGGGGGAAAAGGATAGAATTGCATCCTGTCTTCTGAAAGACAGAGCTCGAGACTGGTGGGAGAAAGTTGGTCATGCCTTGGGAGGTGAGGCGGTTGAGTCGATGACTTGGGAGGATTTCGTGATGATGTTTCAGGCGGAGTTTGCACCTGTAATTGAGGTCCAGTAGTTGGCGAGGGAGTTTTAGGACCTTTTCCAGACTATTGAGATGGTGACAGAGATCACTGCTATGTTCTATGAGAGGGTGTTACTGGTTTCGCAATATGTGGCGGACGAAGAGATGAAGAAGTCGTGATATCACGATATGTTGAGGGGCATAATCAAACAATTTGTAAGCATATCTAGTTGTAGGACACTGGATGATATGGTGGCAAGATCCAGAGAGAGGGATATTGACCAGGAGATGGAGAAGAAGAAGAATTTGGATCAGGTTCAGAGTTTAGAGGGTTTGGGCAAGAGGCCCAAGGGTTTTGATTCGCGATCAAGGGGCCACCAGGGTTGGGGCCGTTGCGGAAAGTGTGGCAAGACGCATGATGGAGCTTGCAGGGTGGGCGGTTTTGGTTGCTTCAAGTGCATCAGGACGGGTCACTTCAGCAGGGATTGCACTGCCACCACCACCACCCATGTATCTAATCTAATTTGCTTCCATTACAGTCATAGGGGCCATAAGAAGTCCAATTGCCGGAGCTTAGCAGCGGTAGGACCAGTTACAGTACATCGACCTTAAGGATCATAGATGGCCGCAAGGGCAAGGTGGAGACGCCTATTAGGAGGAGCAGGGCATTTCAGCTGACAGCCGAGGAGGCTCGTGCAACACCAGATGTGGTGACGAGTATGTATCTTCTCCTTATCTCTTTATTTATTCTGATTTTCCTGCTTATATTTGTGTTTTTCATATAGGGCCGTTGATAGCTTCATTTTATTTACTTCTTTTTATAGTTTATTTTAGCATATTTCATTCACAATTTAGATAATTTCCATGCATATTTTCCTTTTTGTTATTTTATGACCACTTTCGGGTACTTTCGAGTTTTGTGAACTTAATTGCAGATTTTAAGGAGAGTAGCGGAGCGGGAATGTGCGGGATCTTTTGGAAGCATTTGGACTTGGAGGAAAACGAATATTTTGGGCTTGATGGCTATGGAGGTGATGCATGGAGTGGGCTTGTCAATTATTTGAAGGGTTGGAAGAATTAAACTTTAAATTTGCGAGATGGGGGGATTTTCAAGAGTGCGAAGATTGATGATCGGGCGATTACGGAAGCTATGGATCATTTAGAAAAGGCTAATTGAGCTTAAAATGAAGAAATCTTGCATAAAAATGGGCTAGAAGCTGATTGGGCTCAAGCTGGGCAAATGGGCTAAGCTGTGGAGGCCCAAGACATGAAGGAGCCCAAAAATCCATCAAAGTCACGCGGCCCGTGTAAGAAAGCCCGTGGCCCGCGTGGATTCCTGAAAGGGGCAATTTCTGGATTTTGTCTAGAGCTCTATATTAGGAAGGTTGGTGTGCCTCTTCAGCCTTATCTTTTACATCCGATTTGTAGGCATTCTCTCTGTAGCTTTGGAGCATTTTTGAAGGCCAAGAACCCTCAAGAACTTCACCATTCCATCTTTTAATTCTTTCTAAATGTTTGGTACAATCTTCTCTAATTTTGTTTCTTTGAGTTTAGCCATGTTTGGCTAAACTAATCTTGGTTGACTTTGGTGAAATCCTTTGACTATTTGTTGAATGTTGAAGATTCCATGAACTTGTGTTTGAATCTTTATGAAAATGTTTTGTATTTTAACATCTTATCACTACTTGTATGTTTTTATTCATGAGTTTAAATGTGTTTGTGGTGATTAGTTGGCTAATTTCTTGATTAAGTAAAGGATCTTCAAATTAGCAAGCAACAAGTGATTTTTGTGTTAGTTTTACTTCACACAATCATAAAAACATTTTCTCCAACATGGTAGTGGAAGCTTTTGACTCCTCTTGGATTTGGTGACTTTTTGGTTCTTAATGCTAGTTGACTTTCACTAATTACATGCTTAATGGAAATTGTGACTTTGACTAAGAAACTTGTTATGAGCTTCTCTAACCATTTTAACAACTAAGAAAAATCTAGGTAATCCCAAGCTTCTTGGATTACTATAGCCAAATTAAGGATTTAAAACAAGTATTGCACCATTGGATTCTAATGACATGTTCATCAAAAAGTCAAAGTGAGGAAACCTCAAGTCAACCATCTTTCTCTTATTGATTTTACATCAAACTCTTGTTTTTGTTGAAATTGTCTATTTAAATCTTAGT